ATTCAGTTGTTTCTAAGTTAATATTTATCATTTATGATTTTCATTCATTTATTTTGCTGCGCTGCTGGGCTGCAGCTGTTTAGAGATATTTGTAAGGAGCTTGAGGACAGAAGTGCAGCGGCTGCAGCAGCAGCAGCAGCAGCACCTCCAGCAGCAGCAGCAGCAGCAGCAGCACCTCCAGCAGCAGCAGCAGCAGCAGCAAGCTAGCGTGGGGGCAGCCGTCTCTTTTTTCTCTTCGCTTTTTGAGGGTTTGCAGAATGTGACGGCAAATGACAATTTTATAAAATTTTATTTTTATTTTTATAATTATTTAATTTAATTATTTAATTTAATTATTTAATTTAATTATTTAATTTATTTATTTAATTCATTATATATTTATCTATTTATTCATCTATTTATTTATTTCAAAAACAAGACAAGAGGCGCCACAGCGAAACCCTCGGCTGCCTCTATTTTATTGAAAACTCTTTTTGTCGGTTTCTTCTTTTATTTGTCTCTTCATTTTTATTTATTTATTTATTTATTATTTATATGTTTATTATCTATCTATCTATTTATTTACTTATTATTTAGTTATTTGGTTATTTGTTTATATTCAGAGAGGTGGCCCTTTAGATGCTTTAAATTCTAAACCCTAGCCAAACCCTAGGTTGTAGCCAAACCCTAGACCCTAGCTAAACCGTAAACCCTAGCCAAACCTTAACGAAACCCTAGCGAAACCCCAAACTCTAGCCACGCCCCAAACCCTAGCCAAACTCTAAACCCTAGCTAGACTTTAAACCCTAGCCATGCCCCAAACCCTAGCCAAACTAGCAAAACCCTAAACCCTAATCAAAATGGAGCGATCGGAGTTTGTTTGGAGTCGCAGACAAACTGTTGCAAAAAGCAGGGCCCTAAACCCTAAACCCTCGACTTGGGCGCAGGGCTTGAACGCCTACACCCTAAACCCTAAACTAGGGTTTAGGGTTTACTGCTTCTTGAATTCATTCGCCGCCATAAACTCTTCTATGGCCGACTTCAACTTCTGCTCAGTGTCCTCGCTCAGCTGCTTCTCCCTAAACGACACAAACCCTAAACCCTCGCCAAACCCTAAACCCTCGCCAAACCCTAGACCCTCGCCAAACCCTAAACCCTCGACAGCTGGACCCTATATCCCAGCCACGCCCAATACCTTCGACGGCCAAACCGTAAACCCTCGCTGAACCCCAAACCCTCGCCAAACATTTAACCCTCGCTGGCCAAAGCCTAAACCCTCGCTAAACCCTAAACCCTCGCTAAACCCTAAACCCTCGGTTACTTCTCGATGGTCTCCAGCAGCCCCTGGTGGTTTGCTTGGATGTGCTTCACAAAGAGCTCCTCAAACCTACGCACAAACCCCACAACTACTTCTCTAGCTAGCTAGCTAGCTAGCTAGCTAGCTAGCTAGCAAGCTAGCTGAACAGCTAGCTAAACAAACAGCTAAACAGCTAGCTAGCTAGCTAGCTAGCTAGCTAGCTAGCTAGCTAGCTAGCTAGCTAGCTAGCTAGCTAGCCATTTAGCTAGCTAGATAAAAATGCAAAAAAAGATTCAAATTCAAAAGAACTGGAATAAAAAGGCGAAGCAAGATAAATGAAATAAAATAAGTAAATAAATTAAAACAAATGAAATGAATAAAAATGAAAATAAACAAAATAAACGGAATAAATAAAACAAATAAACACAAAGTAAATAAAATAAATATAAATAAAAATAACAAAAGTACCTGCCGATCTCTGAGGGTTGGAGAGGGTCCAAATAGCCCTTTACGCCGCAGTAAAGAATGCAGATCTATAAATAAATAAATAAATAAATAAATAATAAATAATAATAAATACATAAATAATGAATAAATTAATTAATTAAACAATAAACAAAATAAATAAATAAATAAAGTAAGCAAATAACTTCATAAATTCAAGTAATTTGTTAAAGAAGGATAGGAATAAAAAGAATAAAGGGCTAGAGGGGGCCGAATAAAGGAGTCAAATGCGGCAGAAAAGGGACAAAAAAGGGCCAAAAAAGCAGCAAAAAGAAGAGACAAAACAAGGGCCAAAAAGAGCCAAAAAAGAGCCCAAAAAGAGATAAAAAAGGAACACAAAAAGGCCAAAAGAAGGAGAGAAAAAAGGGACAAGAGAGTGACAAAAAAAGGCCAGAAGAGGGACAAAAAAAGGACACAAAAGAGAGAGAAAAGGGACAAAACGAGGCCAAAAGAAGGCCAAAAGAGCTGGAAAAAGAACCAAAAAAGGGCCAGAAAAGGGCCAAAAAGGGCCAAAAGAGGGTCAAAAAAGAGGGAAAAGAAGGGGCATTAACCTGGAGAGGAACTGGAATTGGAGCGTTTTGTTTTTGTTTTAAAATTTCGGTCAAAGCAGTTCCTCTTGTCAGAAGTTGGCGAGTTGAAGCATCCAAGTCCGAACTGAGGAAAGGAAAATATTGCATTTTTCATCCATTTTTCATCGATTTTGCATCTATTTGCACTGAATTTGCACTTTTTATTCATTTATTTGCATTTAATTGCATTTTGATTGCTATTTAATTGCAATGTTGTTGATTTTGATTGGAAATTAAAACGCAAAGTTGAACTTGCCCGAACTGCGCGAACGCCGCGACCTCTCGGAACTGGGCCAGCTCCAACTTCATGGATCCTGCGACTTGTTTCATCGCTTTGATCTGCAAAAAGCGCCAAACAAAAGAAAAACGGAAAACAAAATCAAAATAAATAAAAATAGGATAAATTAAATTAAATTAAATTAAATTAAACGAAAAAACTAGAGGAAAAGGAGCAAAAACGCACGAAATCGGCGAAACTGGATTCAAATTCGTTCAAATTCAAGTTTCGCGAAACTTTTCGTTTTCTTCGAATTTTTCGAATTTTCCCGGCTTTTTGGAATTCCTTTTGAATTTCCAGGACTATTTTCGAAATCAAAACGAAATAAAAGTTAAAAAAAGCCTTAAAAGAGCTCAAAAGGGCTCAAAATGCAAAAAGGATTACCTGAGCCGCCGAGCCCACCCGGCTCACAGAAAGCCCCACGTTAATCGCAGGCCGAATGCCTTTGTAGAAAAGCTCCGCCTCCAAAAAGATTTGGCCATCAGTGATGGAAATGACATTTGTTGGGATATAAGCCGAGACATCTCCTGAATTTAGTGAAATAAATCAATTAAAATGAACCAATTTGAATAATTTGAATAATTTGATTCATTTTAATTTGTTTAATTCGTTAAATTGGTTCAAAAAAGTCGAAAAACGAGGCGAAAGAATGCCTCCAAAAACATTTGGCCACCGGTGATGGAAATGACATTTGCGGGAATATAGGCCGAAACATCTCCTGAATTGACCAATTAAATGCATTAAAATGAATTAAACTGGATTCAATGGATGAAACTAGTTTATTTGATTGATTTAATTGAATTTAATTCGTTGAGTTGGTTCAAAAAAGTCGAAAAACGAGGAGAAAGAACGCCTCCTGGCCATCAGTGATGGAAATCACATTTGTTGGGATTAAGCAGGAACATCTCCTGAATTCGATGAAGTGAATCCATTAATTTGAATTAATTCAATTAATTTACTTTTGATTTAATTCATTTAATTCATTTGGCTCAGTGATGCAAATCACATTTATTTGGATTTATGGGTCGAAATGTTTCCTCAATTAATTTAATTAATCTAATTAATTTAATTAACCTACTTAATTTAATTAATTTAATTAATTCAATTTAATTTAATTAATTTAATTAAGTTAATTAAATCAAGTAGTTAAATTAATTGAAACAAGCAACTCATTTGGTTCGAACCAATTCAAGTAAATTAATTAAATCAATTAAATCAATTAAACCAAATGACTCAAATTAATTTCATTACGTTTAATTAAAAAGAGACAAAGAAGGAGACAAAAAAGATAGAAAAGAAATAAAAAGAAACAAAAGAAAGAAACAAAAAAGACAAAAAGAAGACAAACAAGAAGACGAAAAAGGAAATAAAGAGAGACAAAAGGAGAATAAAAGGAAGCGAAAAAGAAATAAAAAGAAATAAAACGAAATAAAAAGAAATAAAAGAAATTAGAAATAAATAAAAAGGGAATCAAAAAGCAATTCAGATAGCACTTGAACACAATCAAAAAACATCTAGAAAAGAATCAAAAATAAAACAAAAAAGAATTCAAAACAAACAAAAACAAACAAACAAATAAAAGGAACAAATTGAAAACAAAATAAAAAGAATCAAAAATAAACGAAAAGAAATAAATAAAAATAAATAAATAAAAAATAAAAGTACCTGCTTGTGTTTCAATAACTGGCAAAGCTGTGAGGCTTCCTCCGCCAAAGTCGGAGTTTAATTTTGCTGCTCTTTCCAGCAGCCTGGAGTGGAGATAAAAGACATCTCCTGCAGCAAAACAATTCCAATTCTTTTTATCGTTTTAATTCTTTTTAAATTTTAAATTAATTCTAACTTCACTCCTTTGCTTCCCATTTGTCCTACTAATGCTTCGGAAAACCTGCGACTTTGCTGCTGCGAAATCGCTGCGCTGCAGCTGCTGCTGCTGCTGCTGCGCTGCTGCTGCTGCCGCGCTGCTGCTGCTGCTGCTGCAAAGCACCTGGGTAAGCCTCTCTCCCCGGGGGTCTCCTCAAAAGAAGAGACATTTGGCGATAAGCTGTTGCTTGTTTGGAAAGATCATCAAATATAATTAAACAGTGCCGCCCGTTGTCTCTAAACCACTGCAGCAGCAGCAGCAGCAGCAGCAGCGGCAGCAGCGGCAGCAGCGAGAGGCGCGAGGGGCAGCAGCAAAAGCGGCGTTCGGCAGCAGCAAAAGGAGACGCAGCAAGACACAAAAGCGTATTGTAATTAATTATTTATTTTAATTATTTATAATTTAAATATTTATTTATATTTTCTTTTTATTTATTTCTTTTTACTTTTATTTTCTATTTTTATTTTGTTTTATCCTCGCTGGCCTGCCTGAAGAGCTCCATGCCATATTTATTTAATTAAAACTATTTGCTATAAATTACTTTGGTTAATTAATGAAATTAAATCCAATTAATTAAATTAAATCCAATTAAATAAATTAAATTAATTAAATTAACTCCAAGTAATTAAACCAAATCAACCCAATTAAAAAGACAAAACCCTTCCACCTAAACCCCCAAAGAGCGTTTTGCAGAAACAGCTAAAAAGATAACTCGGCGCTGCACTTGGAGCGTTGGACCACTTTTCTGGACGGAATTTTCGCGAGCTGTTCGAATTTGGAACTTTCAGAGCTCCAAAGTTCCAAATTTGCGTCGAAAAATCCAAAAAAGGGAGCAAATTACCTCCCCCATGGAGCAGCCGGCGTACGGCGCCAGAAACTGCAGCGGCGCCGCGTCCGACGCCGTGGCCGCCACTATCGTCGTGTACTCCATCGCGCCCTCCCGCTCCAAAGTCCGCAAAATTTGCGCCTTTTCGCAAAACAAACGCGAAATCCAGCGCCAAAAAGCGCGTTTCAAACGCACATTCGAAACCGCCGAGACAAAAGATGCATTTTGCAAAGAAAGGCAAAAAAATACAACACAAATCGAGAGAGTTATGCAAATTTAAGTCACATTTGAGGCATTTTCACACACTTTGACATAGCTAGGGTTAATGAAACCCCTTCCACTGGAAAAGCCTAGTTAGCTAGCTAGCTAGCTAGCCAGCTAACTAGCTGGCTAGCTAGCTGGCTAGCTAACTAGCTGGCTGGCTAGCTGGCTAGCTGGCTATTTAAATAGAGATAGCGGTAAAGACGGCTGGCCGCAAGGAAAGCTAGCTAGCTCGCTGGCTACCCAGTTAGCAACCCAGCTAGCCAGCTAGCTAGCTAGCCAGCTAGCTAGCCAACCAGACAGGTAGCTAGCTAGCCAGCTAACCACCTAGCTAGCTAGCTAGCTAGTGAATGGAACTCACGACTGTGGATCTCTTTTGTCCAATCGCGACGTAAATACAGTAGAGTTTGTCTTTTTCCGAAGTGGCTTTTTTGTTGGTTTCCTTTTGGTTCAGTATCGTGTCCACTGAAAACAAATAACATTTATTTAATTATTTATTTATTTATTATTTATTCATTTATTTGACTAATTAGCTAGTTAATTAAGTGATTAATTAATTAATTAATTAATTAATTAATTAAGTAATTGATTGGAAAAAAAAACAGAAGTGGCACCTGATGCCCTCGAAGGAACTTTGAAGGGAATTGCAAAAAGATGAAAAGGAGATTTAGAAGGGTTTAAAAAGGAGATTAAAATGATTACAATGAAATTAAAGTGGAGACAAAAGAGAGTTTAAAAAGGAGTTCAAATGAAGTTTAAAAAGAGACAAAAAAGCGACAAAGAGGAGTTTAAAAAGGGACAAGGAGGAGTTTAAACAGAGCTCAAAAGCGGCTTAAAAAGACCACAAAAACGAAATTAAAAGTAGCTCAAAGAGGATCTTAAAAAGGGTTTAAAAAGAGTTCAATAGGGGTTTAAAGAAGGTTTAAAATGAGGATCGAAAGGTGTTAAAAAGGAGCTCAAAAGGAACTTAAAAGAGGACAAAAAAGAGCCAAAAAGGAGTACAAAAGAGGTCCGAAAAGCAATCCAAAAAGGGCTGAGCGGGCGCGCGAACTGGCCGAAAAAGGGTCAAAAGGGAGCATTTTAGATGGGAAAAAAGCGGAACTAAAAGCCCAGCAAGGGGGCCCCAATGGGGGGCCCCGGGGCCCCCAGGGGCGCGAAAAGGGACAAAAAGGACTCCAGAAAGAGCCACAAAAGAACACAAACCCGCAATGCAAGTCTTCCCCGTCTGACGGTCGCCTATAATCAACTCCCGCTGGCCGCGGCCAATCGGCACCAGCGCGTCGACGCTCTTGAGCCCCGTGGCCACGGGCTCCTTCACGGACTCGCGGGGCATGATGCCTGGAAGGCGCAAAACGAGGCGAAAAAGAGGCGGGGAAAAGCCAAAAAGAGACCAAATAAACAACAATTACAAACAGATCTGATTGCTGAGAGCTGGATGCAGAAAAACGCAGAAAAAACGGTCAAATAAAACCCAAAATCCACCGAAAACGAGAAATGCAAACGCAGGGTGAAGCAGCGTTTTTGGGGGGGTTGAGGGTTTTTGAGGGTTTAAATGGGGGTTTAAGAGGGTTTAAAAAGGGTTTAGAAAAGGTTTAAAAGAGGGTTTTGAGAGGGTTTAGAAGAGGGTTTAGCGGGGGTTTAGAAGAGGGTTTAAAAAGGGTTCGAAAGAGGATTTAAGAAGGGTTTAAAGAGAGGTTGGAGGGGAGAAACTGAGGCACAAAAAGAAGAAAAAAGTAGAACATGGAAGCAAAAAAAGACCAAAAAAGAAAAAAGATTAAAAAAAGAAAAAGAAAGGAAAAAAGGGACAAAAAGAAGACCAAAAAGGGACAAAAGGAAGATGAAAAACAAGACAAAAAGAAGATTAAAAAGGAGACAAAAAGAAGATTAAAAAGGAGACAAAAAGAGCACAAAAAGGGAGCAAAAATGGAAAGAAAAGAGGAGGGGAAAGGAGAAAACAGAAGCGAAAGAAAATGAGAAAAAGAAAAAAGAAAAAAGAGAGAAAAGGGGGAAAAGAGACTAAAAGAAAAAATATAAGTACGAATAAATTTAAATAAATATACATAACTATAAATAATTGTATTATTTACATATTACATACTATATATTTTTCCGCAAACAAAAACTGACATGCAAACCCTATTTTAGGGTTTAGGGTTTAGGGTTTAGTACCTGGAGCCTTTACCTCGACCCTTCTCCTCTCCGTTGCTGCAATCGGCCCCTGCAGCAGCAGCAGCAAAAAGCCTTTAAAAATAAATTTTAAAAATTAAATTAGATTAAATTAAATTAAAAATATTAATTGACCAGCAAGCCATATAAACGATAAATTAAACAGCAGTGGACCCAAAAGGCAGGAGCAGCAGCAGCAACTGCAACAGCAGCAGCAGAAACGGCAGCAGCAGCAGCAACAGCAGCAGCAGAAACGGCAGCAGCAGCAGCGACTGCAGCAGCAGCAGCTCCAAACGCAGCACCGATCGCAGCAGCAGCAACCAGAGCAGCCCCAGTCGCAGCAGCAGCAACTGCAGCAGCCCCAATCGCAGCAGCAGCAACTGCAGCAGCAGCAGCAGCAGCAGCAGCACCTTTTCATCGATTGGCTGCCCCAGGGCGTCTACGACTCGGCCCAGCAGCTGCGGGCCAACGGGGACATCCACAATTCGTTTTGTCCTTTTTGCTGTTTGGCCTTCGCACACTGACCTGCAGCAAACCCTCGACACTTGCTGCTGCTGCTGCTGCTGCTGCTGTTGCTGCTGCTGCTGCGGGGCCGCGAAGAGGTGCTGCTGCTGCGTCGCGGTGGTGCGGCGGTGCGGCGGCGTTGCTGCGCTGCGCTGCTGCTGCGCTGCGCTGCTGCGGCTGAACCCCAAACCCTAAGTTCTAAACCCTAAACCCTAAACCCTAAACGCTAAAGCCTAAACCCTAGCTACAGGCTCGCCAAACCCTCACCTGTCTTCGCCAAGAATGACAACCCCCACGTTGTCTCTTTCCAGGTTCAGCGCCATTCCTAAACATCACAAAAAAACCCGAAACCCTAAACCCTAAACCCCAAACCCTAAACCCTAGACACATTACCCTAAACCCTAAACCCTAAACCCTAAAGCCGCACTTCTGTGCGCTATACATCTCGCCCTCCCGCCACTCCCTCCCCCGCACCCGCACCCCAGACCCCAACCCCCAACCCCCAAACCCCAAACCCTAAACCCTAAACCCTAAACCCTAAACCCTCACCGACAGCCCCCGACTGGAACTCCACCAACTCCCCCGCCCTCACATTCCCCAGCCCCAGCAGCCGCGCAATGCCGTCGCCCACGGAGAAGACGCGGCCAACTTCCCCTGCAGTGCTTTGCTGCAGCCGCAAACCCTAAACCCTAAACCCTAAACCCTAAACCCTAGGCGCGAGGCCCGAGGCCTGGGGCCTGGCCAGCAGTCAAGCAGCCACGGCTCCGCCGCACACAGCAGCCCCCAGGGGCATCCTCAAGCCCCCTGTTGCCCGCGAACCCTAAACCCTAAACCCTAAACCCTAAACCCTAAACCCTCGCGCATGCAGCCCCACCTGAGTAGTCCAGCCACTGATCCGCTGCTCCAGAATCTTCGCCATTTCCGAGGGGGAAATTGTTGTGGCAGCTGCCCGCAAATCTGACGTGTGCAGCAGGCGCCGCTGCTGCTGCTGCCCTGCTGCTGCTGCTGGCCCTGCTGCTGCTGCTGCTGCTGCAGGCAGTCTCGCCGAGAGGCGAGCTGCGCATGCTGCAGCAGCAGAAGAGAGGGGACGTATTAGCGGAGCCATTTTAAGAATTGAAACGAAAGAACACAAAACAGGAGTGCAGCAGCAGCAGCAGTAGCAGCAGCCGAGGGCAGCAGCAGCAGCAGCTGCAGCCAAACTGTGCAGCCGCAGCAGCAGGCGCTGCTGCGAGCAACGGCCAGGGTGTCTAAGCGCTTCCTTGCAAAGCTCTTGAGCTTCTTTTTATTTAATCCAACTAACTTTATCCGAATTTGTTTATTTTAGCGAAGAAATGGACTTTAGTTTTCTTAAATCCCCAGAACGCCCCCCAACACGCATGGCGAACGTGGGGTCGCAGGCTGGGGTGTACAGACAGCGCCGCTGCCTCCTCTCCCTTCTTTAAATATCTTCTAATTCATTTATTTTATATACTTTTTATTTTAAATTCGCAGATTTTAAGTCCCGTTTGCAGATACAACAGCCCGCCAAGCTGCTGCTGCTGCTGCCGCCCTCGCGCTGCTGCTGCTGAGCTGTCTGTACACCCTACGCCGAGGCAGCAAATGAAAGGAATTTAATCAACTAAATAAATTTAATTCATTTTTAATATTTAATTCCGTTTAATCGAAACTTTGGAGATCCCCTGTGCCGCAAACCCCCGCCAGCTGGCGAGCTGTACAGCTGCGGCTCAACTGCTGCTGCTGCTGCTGTTGCTGCTGCTGCCGGCGTGCATGCATGCATGCAGCAAAGGCGGCAGCGGTTGTGCTGCTGCTGCTTCTGCGACTTATTTGGTTTCTATTCGTTTTTATTTAAAACATATATACTCTTTGCGCTGCAGAGGAGAGCCTGGAGGCTCAGGGTTTAGGGTTTAGGGTTTAGGGTTTGGGGTTTAGCACACTAGGAGCTATTGATGGGGGTAGTAAACCCCCGAAGGTCTTAAAGCAGAACAATGCCTCCTCAAGGTGCTGCTGCTGCTGCTGAGGCCGCACAAGCACCAGCACCAGCAGCACCAGCAGCAGCAGCAAATGCAGCAGCAAGTGCAGCAGCAAGTGCAGCAGCAATGCCCGTACTGCCGCAGCAGCCGAAGCGGCTGCTGCAGCACGCGCCTGAGAACCCCCTCAGCGCCTTTGTTGCTGCTGCCCTTGATCCACAGGCAGCAACAGCCACAGCAACGGCAGCAGCAGCAGCTCCAGCAGCAGCAGGAGCAGCAGCAGCAGGAGCAGCAGCAGCAGCAGCAAACGAAGACGGAAAAACCAAGCGTTTCTTCTCCGCTTTGTTTTTGCTGCTGATTGAAGGCCGGGGGCTCGACGAGGAGGCCCTAGCAGCAGCAACAGCGGCAGATGCAGCAGCAGCAGGTGCCAGCAGCAGCAGCAGCAGCAGCAGCATTTGCCTGCTGCGGGGGCCTCGCGTGCTGCAGCTGCTGGCAGCAGCGCTGCAGCAGCAGCCGCTGTTTGCTGCTAATGCAGAAAACTGGGGAAAGGGCCTCAAACTTATTGTGTCTTTTGGATTGGTGAGTTTTATTACTTGTTATTTATTTTTTATTATTTATTATATATTTATTTATTTATTTATTTATTATTTATTATTTATTTATTATTGGCCATTTGTATTTTTCATTTACTGTTCTTCATAATTAATGCGCGAATTAAGCGCCTTATTTGCTGCTGCTGCTGCTGCCGCTGCTGCTTGCGCTGCTGCTGCTGCTGCTGCTATGTGGCGCCTCAGTTCTTGCTTCTGCGGCTCCTGCTAATGCTGCTGCATTCGCTGCTGCTGCTCCGTTTGCTGCTGCTGCTGCTGCTGCAGGCGGAGCCCTCCGTTGCTGCTGCAGCAAAGACAGCTTTGCTGCTGGGGGTGCTGCGGCTGCTCTTCCTGCTGCTGCCAGCTGTCGATACACCCCAAGCAGTGCCCACCCTCGACCTCAATGTGCTCGTAGATTTTGTTGCGGAATTCAGCAAGGTCAGCAGCAGCAGCAGCAGCAGCAGCATGAGCAGCAGCAGCAGCAGCAGCCGCAGGTGGTGGTGGTGCTGCTGCTGTCGCTGCTGCTGTCGCCGCTACTGTAGCAGGAGTGAGGGTCTGCAGCAACCCAGCAGCAGCAGTAGAAAATGAGTGTGCCTCACGCTATGGTTTGCTGCTGCTGCTGCTGCTGTTGGCGTTGCTGCTGCTGCTGCTGCAGTTGGTGCCGCTGCAGTCTTTACCTGCTGTTGTTCGTCTCCTCGCGGATCACCGGAGTCTCTGTGCTGCTGCCTTCAAGCGAAAAAGCAAAGAAGAGAGGCCAGCAGCAGCAGCAGCAGCAGCAGCAGGTGCTGCTGCTGCCACCCCAGCAGCAGGCGCTGCAGAAAACAGAAGACGCATGCAGGTGCAGCAGCAGCAACAGCAGCAGCTTTGAAGTCCTGCCTGTTTGTTTCTGCGAGCTTATGCTTCCCCTCATCCCCGCTGCTGCTGCTGCGGCTCCCACTGCTGCTGCTGTGGCTCCCACTGCTGCTGCTGCTGCGGCTCCCACTGCTGCTGCTGTGGCTCCCACTGCTGCTGCTGCTGCTCCCACCGCTGCTGCTGCTGCTACCGCTGCTGCTGCTGCTGCTGCTGCAGGTTGCTGGCGCTAAGGTGATTGGCATGATAAAGGCAGTGGAGGAAAGGCTGCGGCTGTCCCCTCACGCCCACCTTATATTCGAGTAATTTGCTGCTGCTGCTGCTGCTGCTGCTGCTTCTGTTGCTGCTGTTACTGCTGTTGGTGCTGTTGTTGCTGCTGCTGCTGCCTGTGCTGTTTTTGTTGCTGCTGCTGCTTTAGGACTGCTGCATCGTCTCTGTGTATGTACACCTCAGGCTGCGTTTGCTGCTAGCAGAGACACTGGCCCTCACGCATGCAGGCGGTATGCTGCTGCTGCTGCTGCTGCTCTTCCTAGTGCTGCTGCTGCTGCTCTTTTAAGCGTTGCTTCTGCTGTTTTTATTGGTGCTGCTGTTGCTGCCGCTGCTCTTTCTGGTGCTACTGTTGCTGCTATACGCAATGCTGCTGCTGCTGTTCTCAGTGCTGCTGCTGCTGCTGCCCTAGTGCAGCAATTGCTGCTGCTGCTGCTCTTCGTGGTGCTGCAGTTGCTGCTTCTGTGTTCCCTCAGTGCTGCTGTGGATGACTGTTGCTGTGGGTGCCATAGCGTCCGTCTCTGTTGCTGTTGCTGCTGCTGCCCTGCTGCTGCTGCTGCTGCTGCTGCTGCTACAGTATCAAACAGGACACTGCAGCGCGCGGAGCTCCCAAGGCCCGGCATCGACAGCGAAGAGGCGTGGCGGTAGGATTTAGGGTTTAGGGTTTAGGGTTTAGGGTTTAAGGTTGGCTTCTGTAGCTGTCAGTCTGTTGATAGTTTGCGCTGCCGCTGTTCCTGCTGCTGCTCATACTGCCGCTGTCTGCTGCTGCTGCTGCAGGAAATGTTCTGTGGGAACTGTAGATACACCCGAAGGCGGAGACTGTCCCTATGCAATTTACAAAGCATTTGTAGACTGCCAGGTCTGCTGCTGCTGCTGCTGCAGTTCTGCTGTTCTTGTTACTGCTGCCGCCGCTGCTGCTGCTGCTGCTGCAGTTAAAGCTGCTGTGGCTGCTGCGGCGGAGCTAGTGTGCGCAGCTCCTGGATTGCTGTTGCTGCTTCGCTGCTTCCTTCGCTGCGCCTGCTGCTGCTTCGTCATCTGATGTTGCTGTTGCTTCTGCTGCTGCTACTGCTGCAGCAATTCCTTCAGGCCCCGGATTTGGTGCTGGCACAAGGCAGCGAAGCAACGGTTGCTGCTGTTGCTGCAGTGCAGCAGGTGCTCTCTTACCTAGAGAGCTACCACACGAAAACTAGCAGCAGCAGCAGCAGCAACAGCAACAGCAGCAGCAAATGCGGTGACAGCAGCAGTGTGTGCGTTTATTGCGGCCACAAAAGGAGCAGTGTATCAGCGGCTCCTGCAGCAGCAGCAACAGC